AAGTCAACATTACAATTAAACATCAATGTTGTCATTGGGTTAGTTATTTAACATAATTTAGTATAAATTATAGTTAAAAAAATGTAAAAAGGATAAATTTGCATATTCTCTTGTCTTTAAACTTTTGATAATCCCCTTGACAAGTTATAAATCTGCCCTTTTTACATTGCACGTGCACAACACACGCGCAGAGGAACCTGCAGAAAGGTAGTGAAGATTTTATTAGTTTCCAACTTACTGCCGATTTCACACTCTGCAGTCCTTTACATAGCTTGTCTACATGGGAATCTACTTGCTAAAGTTAAAACCCATAAATTTTTGGCCTTACTATATATGCTTTGGCCTATGCGTTTGGTCCAACTTCATGTCCCATGAATATGAAAAATTAAAAAAATTAATTAAAAAAGAAGGCAAAAGAGAAAAAATGGACTCAAAAATAAGTAAACAGAAAACCCAATTGCTTAAATTCACTACTTGTTATAAGAAGTTGAAATCATTTACCACTAAGCACCCCCCACATTTGGTTAGAAAAAAAACTTCCAAGAAATGGAAGAACAATGCAGCCCTCTTGGCTGGGGACCTTGCTATCAAGAAGAGGTAAATTCTCTTTGATTTTCGCTTAATTTCTAATTCTGTCTTAATTTTTTTTTTTTTTAAGGAGAGGGTGTTTTAAAATTTTTCATTTTGGTGGCAGAGAATTGAAGAGTTAAGGCATTTGTACAGAACTTGGGAGCTGGAGGCAACGATTTTATCAGCTAAGGAGGAGATCGAAAGGCGAGAAATAGAATTCATCCATCTTAAGGATGTTTTAAATAAGACTATCAAAGAGAGGAATGAAGCACAAACGCAATGCCAAAAGCTGATGCTGGAGAACCTTTTGCTGCAACAACAACTTCAAAAAACAGCAGCAGCAACAAGAAGCTCGGGCTCAGGTGATGTCGCGCACATCTAGCAGCGATGATGAATCAAAACCGGGCGACATAATTAGGAATAAAACATGACTTATCTCCCATTACAAATCCGGTATTATCAGAATTGCCGCAAGAGGCCTTGAATTTAGCAGCCGATAGGCCATTGCCGGGGAAAGGCAAATTATTGAAGGCAGTAATGGAAGCAGGGCCACTTTTGCAGACTTTTCTCTTGGCGGGACCTCTCCCTCAGTGGCAGCATCCTCCTCCGCAGCTCGACTCCGTGAAATACCCCGGTGGCGATAAGTTCTTCACCTTCGCCGCGCCTTCGACACCATCAGAGCTCTTTCAACAGTCCAACTGCCGGTTGTTTAAGCAGAAAAGAGGTCTTGAGTTCGGTGAAATTGGTTTTGATTCTTCCCCAAAGTATCAAAAAGTTGCCCCCATTAATTAACCAAACCCTGCAAATTATTAGCCCATCTCTTTCATACTGTTTGACAATTAACTGATGACTTTCAGCATGAAATGGATGGGTTTTGCGCATCAGTTGATTGATGAGACTCTGTAAATACTTAATTTTGCATTAGGATTAACAATCTTTTTAATATGCATGATTAATGTAAGTGTAGTAATATGAAATGGGGTAAGAAATTTTCCGCAAAAGCAAGGAACTTCTATTGAGTTTATAATATCAGCTTATATATTGATTTGAACTTTTTGATAGATTGGGTTGATGTAACCAAATCTCCAAATTCATCAGAAGATGTAATTTTTTTTCTTAATAGAATTATGATATGGTAATGGTCAGTCATGGAATGGCTTTTAGCTTTAGCTTTTCCGTATATTAAAGTAAGATTAATCATAAGCAAATGTGACCAAGATGAGGAATTAAATATAAAACCTTTTGTTTTGCTTTTCTATGGAGAACACAAAGACATACATTAATTTATTTAATTAGGAAACACACTTTATATAAAAAACAATATTTTGTACATTATTTGAAATATGATATTCTGAAAAACTATTATGGATATGATAGGATAAGATTAAATCAAATATGATAGAATTATAAGAATGTATTTGATATATTTTCTGATAATATTTAGGTTATACATTTATTCATTTAGGTAACACCTCCTCCCTTACTCATGACAATAAAAATTTATAAATTAATAAAAACACCCCCACACACCCAACTGACTACCACCACCAAGCAGTGATTGACAATCGTCGAAATGACACATGATCAATTGGATCTGCTCAGTTGGAATGGCATACGATTGATTGGATTTGGCATACCGACAGTGGTAGCAACTGGCGACCTACGGTGGTTGTTGGCAGTCGATAATGGCTTGGGTAGATGGGGGTGTTTTTGTTAATTTATAAACTTTTATTGTGAAAGGTAGTTATTAAATGTTTTTAGTTGAATAAAATAGGATTGGATTTTGAATTGAATAGTCAATATTAAAACAAACACGTTTTTTACTATTTAGGATAGGAAGGATTGTAAACGAGTCGAGTCGAATCAAGTTTTGGCTTAAACGAGCTTGACTCGTTTTACACTTTGGCGAGTTCGAGTTGAGTCTCGAGCTTGACGAGCCAGGAAAATTGAGCTCTTGACTCAACTCATTTTATACACAAGCTGACTCGAAATCGATTCGAGCTCCTGTAAACGAGTTCGAGTCTGCTCATGTAACCTTGTGTCCAAGAAGAAATGAAACAGAGATATTGCCGCCAATCCTTCCTTCTAAATCCTCCTCCACTTCATCTCAAATTCAAAATGGAAGAAAAAATAATATAAAATGAAACCCATCGATTATGTGGGGGTGTGTTTGTCATTTTTTAAAATTGGTAAATTCTTATACCCCCTAATAGTTGTAAAAAGTCATATATACTCAAGCTGACTGAAGCTAGATTTGAGCTTGGAGAGCCTAGCATTGGTTGTTCGAACTCGGCTCGCCTGAAGACCTAAGCCAAGCCGAGTTGAGCTCGACTCAATAAATATCAAGCTTTTTACTCAGCCGTTGACACCCCTAGATAGGATAGGATAGGATAATAGAAAAGTGTTTCAAAAAATTTAACAAACAGGGGGTAAATTTTTCAATTTCTATCCTATCATTGCATTATTAGAGATGAAAAAACAGAGTTAAAATTCAATTATTAAATAATTCATGATTTAAATGATGAATGAGAGAGGCTAATTTCTGGATCTCTTTCGCTAGAGCCATAATTTACCAGCCCACTAAAAATGGGCCAAATGCTGAACAGAGCCCTTTTTTTTTTTATTTTTCTTTTTATCATCTATCCACTAAAAACAGAACCCGGTTAGCACTTGCATCGTTTAGCAAAGGCATACAATAATTAAATTTAAATGATAATTTCCTGTAAACTTTGAAATATAGTTTTGTATGTGTTAAATCATTAATTGAATGCGCACAAAAATACAATACTAAATACTTCTTTGGCTTTCATCAAGGATAGTGAAGAGAAAATCAAACAAGATTGATATTGCTACAAGAGTTATTAAACCAAATTATCAAATGATATGTGTTCATAGTTGGAAAATCTCATACTAAATTCCAAAAGGTCTTTTAACAAAAACAATAGTCTAGGATTTCTGTAGATAAAGCGATAGCCCAACATTAATTGAAAAAAATAGCACTTAAGGTCATATAGTTCATAATAACATGTGTACATTTTATATGACGTTCTGTCGGTATAAATTTAGAAGATTATACTGACAAAAAAGAAATATTAATTTTAGGGAGTCTATCAAACGGATATTCATAAAGTAAAAACATTATATAATCATTAGTGTAAACCAATGTTCTGAAACCCAGACCGGACTGGGCGGTCGAACCGGGTTTCAGTGAAATTTCTAGGTTGTAAAGGGTAAAAAAACGAGATTTTGAGTTAGACCATTTTGAACCGCGGTTGGACCATCTCACTATAGCAAACCGACGGTCCAACCGGTACAACATCTAAAACCGATCCAACCTCCCATCCGGTCCACTAACAAATTGAAAACTATTTTAAAATTTAAATTTAATTTTTTTAATGAAAAGCAAACCCTAAAGTCAAAGTGTCAAACAACTCAAACCCATTTTTATTTTTGCATTTTGCTTTTGCGGTTCAGCACTTCAGCTGCGACGCTGCTACTTTGCTCTGCCGTCTACGTGCGATCTCCTTCAGCTTGGCCCTCCTCCAATTTGCTTTTTCTTTTTCAGTTTCGCCCTCCTCCAGTTCAGTTCAGTCCTCCTCCTCCATTCGCAATCTCCTTCAGCAATTCAGCTTTAGCCTTCAAGTGTGAATTAGCCTGCTTCTTCGGTTTGCCTCCTCCAGTTCAGTTCACGATCTCCCTGCGGCGCTGCTACTTTGCTCTACCGTCTGCGTGCGACCTCCTTCAGCTTGGCCCTCCTCCAGTTTGCTTTTTCTTTTTCAGTTTGGCCCTCCTCCAGTTTAGTTCAGTCCTCCTCCTCCATTCGCGATCTCCTTCAGCAGTTCAGCTTCAGCCTTCAAGTGTGAATCAGCCTAGTTGATGGATCATGGATTCATATATGATATTACTTTGTATTTCACTATTTTGTAATTTGTAATGCCTTTAATGATGTTTGAAAATTGAAACTTTAGAGTTTAGACTTGAGTTGAGGATTGATTTTTAGAATTTGTAAACATTAAGTCATTAACTATCAAAATTTGATGGTTTTAATGTTTTTGAGTGTCTATTTAATTGTTTTTAGATTTCAGTTACATACAAAATTTGAAAATTTTCAGTTACAAAATCTGAAAATTTTCAGTTTTTTTTGCTTTTGTTGATGTCACTAGTCCGACCAACCGGTCGGACCGTGTAAACCTGGAATCGGATATTTTAGCGGGTCGACTCCTGGTCCGATTTTCAGAACATTGGTGTAAACAATGTATTTACTCCCTAGAATCATGAATGTAAATATAAAATAATAATCCTATACGTCCAGATCACCACATCTACGTATTAAACTTAGTTATTAAATGAAGACCAAAATGTGGACAGTTCAAAATAGGTTCGGTGTTTGGTTTGGAAAACTGTTGTCCGAACCTTCTTGTTCCTTTACCAATTTGCCCTTCTTCATTCCCTCTCATTCATTACTCATTTCATCATTCAAATCGATTAGTTTTTGAGTGAGTGATAAATTTTAGCTGGTGCGGTGCTATGGACAGTTTCAGCTTTCTCGGCGACGAGGATCCTATCGTTGTTGCAGGTACTTTCTTTCTTAATCTTATAATAATTTCTTTTAATCCTTTAGAAGACTCCTAAGATTGAGATTTTTATTCTTGAAGTTTTTTTTTTTTTTTTTTTTTTTTTTTTTTTAACAGCCGAGAAATTAGTATCATAAATGAGGGTTTTTAGGGTTTCAATGTCGTAGAACTTATCTGTGTCAAGATTTGGAACTGAGAATGGTGTGGATTTGCGCATCTGGGTTTCTAGGGTTAGGATTTTTTAAAACTGAATGAGGTGTGTGGAGTGGATAGACTGTAGAAATTCACTGTTGACTCTGTTGGTTTATAAGAAAATGAGAAAGGAGAGAAATGGATGTTATTTACCTATTAATTGCCGAAAAATACAGCTGTATTTAGCTGAATTTTAGCTGGGTTATTCACTGGAAACTAACTTTGGTTATCCTTTGAGAAATTTAGCGTTAGGGTTTATGAGATGGAAACTTTTTGGATTAAGAGAATTGTGTTTGTTGAGTTTTTGTATTCAGAAATTGTGTTTATATTGATTTGAGCAATGGTTAGTACATGTGCTTGGCCTAATTTGGATGAGGTGGTCACTACTTGGTAACTGAAATAATGTTATTCATGGGATTCGGTATTTCTTTTCTTTATATCAATGTTGTAGGAAACCAAACTGTGTTAGGTTGTCAAATAACTTGACGAGAAATTGTTGTGGGCAATTTTAGATGAAAAACCTAGAGGGAAGAAAATGGTAAAGGGATCTAACGTTGGAAGTGTGCCAAGGAAAAGACTAGCCGACATAAGCAACATGCAGCAGCCGAGTAAGCTTTCAAATGAAGTTGTAAAGCCACAACAAACCGATTCCCTTACAGCTAATGTGTATGTTGACCAGCTCCACAAGGTATATTGTCAGGGGATTCAACTCCTCTCTCGCTCTCTTTTGTATATGCATGACCTTACATGACCTTACGGATGTCTTTCTTTCACTTTTGCTGACTGGGGTTTTATTCTGCATCTGCTCCCCAGGAAAATATGACCCTGATGAAACTTCTTGCAGAAAGAAAGTATCCTCAATGGTCACTTTGTTTTGCTTTCCTTTGTTTGCACATTAAATGTTGTGATTTCAATGCCTTTTTTCGTTTGCGGGTTTGCCCCTTAATTCTGGTTGGCAGTAAATTGATTGAATTAAATGGAACTGAGCTACAGAAGATGAAAATCAATTTGCAGAAAGCGCAGCAACAAAATTTGCAGCTTGCCAAAGCAAACAGTTCAATGTTGGCGGTAACCTTGCTTATTTCTGATTTTTAGTTTCTTGTTTTACCTAGTTTTTAAGCAGCTAAGGTGGTATCTTGTACAATATATGTATAATATTTTTATCTGATCATGCAGGAACTTAATTCAGGTAAAGATAGGGTATGTTTTCTTTATAACTTTCTTGCTTTTGTTTTCTTTTGGCCTTATAATTTTCTGTGCATTGATATTTGCTCTTTGTTAATCTTCAGCTGAGAGTACTTCAACATGAGCTGGGATGTATAAACACCTTACGTGAAGCAAGAAACTTTGTGTTAGAGGTCATTTCTCATAGTAGTTTTCCCCTTTGATTGAATGTGACTGAGTTTATTGGGTTAGACTGTATTAGTTAGTAACAAATTCTTCTTGTTTTTCACCCAGGATAAAGCAAATACACTGACATGCCATACTTCTGGAACTCAGGTAGTTAGCAAATTCAATGTGTAAAATTTCTAACACATCAATTATTTAATTTCTCATGTTATTTACACCTTTTCTTCCACTACTTTTCAGATAGGAGCAGATAAATATGACAAGGGAGGCAAAGCGGATGAGCAGGACAAGAAACCTTGTAATACCAACAGGAGAAGGCAATCAAAAAATCAAAGTAGCAAGTTTACCAGATGCTTTCTATTCTAAATTTCAGAACTATTACCTATACTAAAATCTTTTTCACTTATAGTTTTACATGTAGGTTCGGATTCTTCTACTGTCAGTACGGTCCAAGATAAAGAGAAAGTTGATAACAAGAGGTATTTCTAAATCATGTTTCTATTTCAAAGTTCTCACAAAGATATAATTTAAAAAAAAAAAAAAGAAATTTACATTTGATTTCATGTTCTGATTGCAGGCTTCGATTGAGAAGGCAATCTGGTAGGTTTAAATCTGAAGAGGCAGAGCCATCAGAGGAGAGGTTTGTAATGCATGTTCTGTTGCTGTATGCCATTTGATTTTTCAGTGATATGTTTATTATCAGTTATCACATTGACCAGTAAATTTAGTGGAACAAATGTAAATTTAAATTTGCTTTTGTGGTTTTCCTTTTCTTCTCTTGACAGGCTTTGTTTGAGAAGACAATCTGCCAGGTTTAAGTGTGAAGAACCAGCACCAGCACCAGAACTGACTCAAGATAAAGTTGATAACAAGAGGTTTTTTCCTGTAAATTTGCTGTTTAGTGCAATTTCAATATCTAAATCATGTGTTCTATTCAAAGTTTTCATAAAGAATTAAATTAAAAAAAAAAAAAAAAAATTACATTTGATTCTGTTCTGATTGCAGGCTTCGTTGAGAAGGCAATCTGGTAGGTTTAAATCTGAAGGGCAGAGCCATCGAGGAGAGGTTTGTAATGCATGTTCTGTGCTGTATGCAATTTGAATTTTCAGTGATATGTTTTACGGTTATCACATTGACCAGTAAATTTAGTGGAACAAATGGAAATTTAAATTGTGTTTTGTGGTTTTCCTTAATTCTCTTCACAGGCTTTGTTTGAGAAGACAATCTGCCAAGTTTAAGTGTGAAGAACCAGCACCAGAACCGACTCAGGATAGGTTGTTGTGCTTGTTTTTGCTGTGCAGTTTGGAATCTTGAGTGATGTTGTCATTTCAGGTTGTTTAAAATGTATAAAGTTTCGAGCGACAGAAAAATTGGATTTAAGTATTCTATTATCCTCTTCCTGTCTTTTTTTCAGAAGGCAGTTTGCTAGGTTTAAATCTGTTGCGTCAAAACCAACTGAGGATTCATTTGAGATGATGATGTTAAATCTCCTGTTTCCCTTCTGAGTGATAAAATGGTACATGAGAATGATCCCACATCATCCGACTATCAGTCCAACAAGAGCGCAAAGAAGGAAACCGTGCCCAGAATGATGAAGCTCATGAAACTAGGAGAGGATCTTCTGGAAGGCCCTTGCGTCAGGCAGTTGAGAAGGTGCAATCTTACAAAGAAATTCTCTTAAAGTTAAAATGCGCCGAGGAAATTGAGTAAAAAACTTTCCCAGTAAAATCTACTGCATATGCACATTTCGTGCCTCTGTTATTGTTGTGTTTTGTAGTATGTGTTGGATTGACTTTTCTTTGAATACATGTGCTAATTCTTTGTAAAAGTCTCTAATCTAAGCGGGCGGCTGTTCTCTTTTGTGACACCATGGATAGAGTGAAATGCCCAAAATCAAACCTCAATTTAGTATTGTTTTCTATCTGAATAGGTTCCAAACTCTTCCAGTCAAGATCAAACATTGTCAAGTGAATCATGAGTACATTTCTTATTCTCATTGTTTGATTTCTAACTTCAAGCTTTGGACTACAGTTTTGCATTTATTTTCTTTTTGGGTTGTTGAAGTTTATAAAGAGAGGGAAAATAAATTTCATTAAAAAAATTCCATTTATAAAGAATATGATGGCTGATGTTCGGAGTACTAAGTGAAGCAAACCAATATCCATATCTTAACAGTACCAATACCAGGAGCTCCTTTTTTCTCAAATCATTGTTGTAGTACGATGTGACAATCAGGGACGTAGCCACCAATAAGCCCCACTGAACTTAGGAATTTTTTTCAAAAGTTACACAATTCTACTATGTTTAACATTAACATCCCTTTTCTAAATCCAAGCATTATCACACTTTAATTTTTATTTTATTTTTGGTCAAAATGTCTAATAATTCTTTTGTTATCCACGGAACACATGAAATAATCATAAAATTATTTTGTATACCACATGAAATAATATAAAATATTTTGTAACGAAAATTATTAAGGAAATTTAATGAATTCAAACTAGAACATGTAATTCAAATATTATCATATTCATAATTTTTTTTTTTATTATTTATAAATTATCATGTGAGTTGCAAATGAAAGTGAGACAAATTTCAAAATATAACATGTTAAATTTAATCAAACATGATACAAAACATAACATGAAACATGGTGACAGCATACTTATAGAGAATAGATTCGGTTTTTAAGATGGATAAAGTAGAAGTAATCTAAATTAAATTATGAGACGACACTGAAGATAAGCCATCGGGGACAAAATTCTTGTCAAAGCGTGTTGATAAATGAAAAAAAAAAAAATTGATGAGAAAATTTGGTAATAATCCAGCAGTTAAGTGAGAAAAAGAAACGGGACATGTTGGTCCAAGTCACATGCAAAGAAGAAAAAAAGGTAGGTGACAAAAAGCCAGAGATTTTCACATCATTTTTCTTTATTCTACAACTTACAACTATAAACCGCGTTTCTGCACGAAGATGAATAATATATTTGAATGTTGTTGCCTTCCTCTTCCTTCCTTCCTCTTTTGTCTTTATGATATCGTGCTCTTACTATATCCTGCTTTCCATTAAATCAAAGTAATTGCGATTTTTTTTTTTTTTTTTTTGTGATTAGAGGTATTCGGATGAGCTTGTACACATCTTTACTAATCTCCTGAAGTTGATACCCTGATAAGTCTCTCAGTGGCCACTCCTATTAGGGCCTATAGAGACTCAAACTCAGGAGTTCATGAAACCTCATTTACACTTTATCATCAGAACACCTCGTAGTGATTCAAGATTCATTAAAAAGTTTTATCACATAAATTTGTGTTATAGTTTAATAATTTATTTTTAAATTCTTTTTTAAGTTTCTTATTTAGACTGAATAACAGAATCCAACAATAATTAAGAATGACGTTGATATAATTAATATTAAGATGTTCCGGCTAAAATATTTCTAGTATAAAATAATTCTCAATTAGAGATTTGATATAATGTTGTTAAGATAATATTAATATGTCATTGGATTCATTTGTAAAATATGATCTCCATTAGTGAATGTGAGAATATATATATCTTATTAGGTATATAAAATAATTATCATAATATAAAAATTACTTTTAAAATATAAAACAAATCCCATGTATGATGATGTGTCAAATTGTGATTGCACACTCAAAAGAACCACAAAAAGAAGATGTGGGATGGGAAAAGAGCCCATAAAAACAAACAAATATGAAGAATTTTTACATGTGAGCGTGGGGTGCACCATAATTTGATTTCCAAGGACCCCGCGCAAAACGGCAATGCAGCATGGTTCACCCCCACATCTAAATTCGGTTTGTTCTTTTGTTTTGGTCTAATTCTAAAAGTTAGAATCAAAGCAAACCAACCATGCCGTTAATACATACTTTTTTTACTTTTGCTTAATTTAAACATTATTTTCTTTTTTTAACGAACTTCGATATAGGTTAAAAAAACAATTATATTCCTGACACCTGAAAAAATACAATTATGTCCCTCATATTACGAAACATCAATAACTTTTTTTAATCTCTTTGGGTATACGAATATAAAAACAAAAAAGTTTGAATGAGATTTAATCATATAATAATTCTTACAACCGCAAGAGATTGAACTTATAACTCACAACCTCTATCTTTTACTAATACATTTACTTCTTGAGGTCTCCTTTAATAATATTTTCCTCTCTTGTATTTGAAATAAATATTTACCCTGCTGTGAACATTCATTAGGGTTTCAGATTTAATTTACAGATAACGGTAAAATATATTAGTAACAATAAAGATTGACTCATAAACAATCTCACAAACCATCTCTCACAACTGAGTGACAACTCACAATTGGTCAGACGGAAAATTCATAGAAACCAATTGCGAGTGTGCATGTCGGGATTGTGAGATTAGATTGTAAGTATAGTATGTCCACTAGTTAAATGAATGGAACTTGAAGGAACATTAACATCAAGAAAAAATTGTTATTTCAAATATTTAATGAGAGAAATGTTACTCAATGAAATATCAGGGGAACTTGTTAAAAATCTTATGAACCTTTAGAAGATATCAGTGAAATCTTACATATTAATGGTGTAAATGTAATTAACAAAAATAGGAGAGGTTTGTTGATATATCTCACTTGAGGGTGCCATTGTAGTCATATAAACTTCAAGTTGTTTGTTTAAAGTTATATTTATTTATTTTATTTTTACAATATGGTAGCCCAAAAGAGGGTCCAATAGGGCCCACCATTACTACTTTGCCCAGTCTTTGGTGGGAAATGTTTTCCTCCCGCGCCTTCCTCTGACTTGACCCCTAACACTCACAATTTCTATAAACCATATTACAACTTTTGGTGGTTAAATATCGTTTCCCTAATTTTGATTTTAAAAATTAAAATTAGTGAAAATGTATTTATATATTTTTTTAGAGAAATAAAAGCAAATTTCATATTTCTAACATCTTATCTTCCCACCAAAGTTAGAACACTTTTCAAATGCAGTGCTAAAAGTATTTTAGTTGATTTTGTAAGATAAAAATGAAAAAAAGATATTCAATTTTATATTTTTTTAGATCACAAAATAATATAATAATATAATAATGTATAAATAATGGGGGTATTATGAGAAAAAAATTTCTAGTGAATAAAACAAATGAAGAAGTAAAAGAGAAATTTTCTATACTTTCCCAAGGTCTTTCATTTTCTAAAGCGTGTAAACATCTAAAGTTATATCCTTCCTCCTATAAAATCTACATAAATTTGGACTTTTACTCTATGGTAGCCAACAGAGGTGTTTGGGTGCTAAAAGTTAGAATTTATCTACAAAAACTATGCATTTTCAAAGAGGAGGATCTATAGAATATCAAATGGATAAAAATTGACTATAATCTAAATTTATAAATTTTCTCTCACAAGCCCTAACATGGTAGTTTGTAATTGGTCAATTTACAATATGACAGGATCCTAGCGAGCAGGCGGAACCCATTTGCGAGGGGACCAATTGTAAACTGAATATCGAAGTTGTGAGAGAAAGTTTAAGAGATTGAATTATATGTAGTATTACCTATATCAAATTATTCATCTTTTTGCCAAAAACAATAATAATAATTAAAAATAAAAAAAAAAGAGTAAATATAGAGCTCCCTATGTACTTAGAGTGTACTATTGTAGTTCTCTTCAATCACATTTTCCTTTTACTAGTCAAAAAGAAAACCTAAGCCCACACTCTTGAAGGGGAAAAAAAAAAAAAAAAAAGTTTGAAGATGAGATGGCTTTATCATATCTAAATGACTTTTTCTGGACTAATCAAACTAATTATTTACATTCTTGATTCCAATAGCGCATGTTAGTTATATAGGTCGAATCGATCTTCAATAATAATATATCATTTCAATCACGTAAATGGGTTACGAGATTTTAACTTTATAATATATATCGTTTCAATCACGTAAATGGGTTAGGAGATTTTTAACCTTATATAAAAGAATAAATAATAGATTAATTTTTAGGTTGGATAACCCGAGTTCTTAATTCAATATAATTGAGGATAAATACATAATTAGCATAGTTTGGCACATATACAAATAAGATTCTCAATGTAAAGTAGATTCAAAATTCTAGTAAATTATAGTGAAAATTAAGGATAATTTTGCATATTAAATTAACGGTTTGCTTTGTTAATTCTTTAACATTTGTACTTCATGGTAGGTCGAAGCCGATAATAGATAATATATCATTAATGAGTAATAACATTGATTAATTAAGAGATTTTTCACCTTATAAACTGTGGGAGATCACCCAGTTAAAATATACTTGAGATAATAATATATATTACAATCACACCACGCAAAAAGACACGTAATTTACGTGGCTTGGCATAACCGCTTACATCCATATATCCACTATAATTTTATAAACATGATATAAAAGAGTACACAAACCATAAACTCGGTTCATAAAATAAGTGGAAACATCATAATTTCTAACTATGATCAACGTATACCTAGAGTGGAATTAGGAAACAATCCCAATTTCTAAGAACTCTCCTTA